GCAGCTTTATATTAAGCACCGAAAAGAAACGCATACAGAGATTGAACTCGGTTACGGAGTCATCTGCAAACAAGCATATAAAATTTCTAGGTGGCTTTAGTTAATCGGCCAATAATTGTACCTTACGATTTAAATCCTATAGAAGGACGCATCTTGCTGATGTGAGATCGGGTCTAGCGGACAACTTAGCTTGTTCATGACTGTTATTGGCGGGGAAAAGGCACCGTGTCAGATTTTGATTCACTAGATTAGACCGAATAATATAGCTAACTAGTCACCTTTCCCGGGACTCTTTACAGCAACGGGAGCGTCAAAACGCTCCAGAAGTTTTGAAGCTGTGTACCCTAGCGTATGCCGCGATCCGAGGATCGCCAAACGAACGCGCTTACCATTAACGTCTCCGGTTTACTCATGGTAGTTCATGGAAAACTCGTTCGACCTGTGGAAGCTTAACAGGCCAAATCATGTTAGACTTGCGGTGAAATTTGGCATTCGTATGATCCTGAGCTGAGTTAGCTGGCCGTCTGGTTAAATACAATTGAAGAAGAAATCCCGAAGATCTCTTTTATACAGCAGCATCGTATAGCAGACTTATACGTTCTAGTGGGCAGGGAAAAGCGGCTGACAGCCTGTATATTTGACGGATGTTTCCGTGCTTCGTTTTTCTATACGATTCATAAACGCATTCATGACATTCGATTTCTCAAGTCATTGCGAGGCATCTGTAAAGACTGGCCAAACTAGGGTCTGTAATATATTTTCCTTCGTTCGTCGACGTTTAACCCGCTGTGATTAAACTCGTTGCATGATAGTTTCGGAGGTCGATGCTACAAGGGACTAGCTGAGAGTTCGGGCGACGAAGCTTCCCTTTTAGCCTAACGGACTTACGCCTCAGGTCTGACTAGGTGTCATTTTAGGTACGCCTACATCCTCCCGACCAACATCGACAGGGAACGTGGTGTTTCTTAGATACGTCGTTAAATTCGCCTAGTAAAGACTAACGGGACCTCGCCAAAGGCCAAATAATTGCTCTCGATAACTGTTCCCATACTATAAGCTGATGGTGCCGCCCTACCTTAGCAATTATGTTCTGGAGGCTAAACAGAGAGTCGACTGAGCTTTAGCTAATTTCAAGTATCTAAATAGATATTGTGGAGCTAACAATATACGATATAATTACGTGTTTATTCATTCGTTCATTCATTCATATATAGGAGTAAGCAGCCAAGGAGAATAGAGTTGATCGTACTCTATACAGAATAGTACACCGAACGGCACGTGCAGACAGCGTATAAAAATACATCAGCATAGTACCGCCTTGCACTTTAGATCTGATTTACTCAACTTACGTGCCCGCCATTCTAGTTTCAACTAATGTATTCGAAGCTTAAAGTACATATGTACTAGGCTGACTGAAAAATTGTGGAAAAGGGAGCCTTCAAAGGTGAACGAGCTCCAGTCCAGTTGACAGTTGGCCGTAAAAACGCCCTGTAGCCGTTACACTATTTCTATCATCTTCGTCCAATGCGGTTCACTCAACGGGTCGACGTTCGAGCAACAAGACAGCCCGACTTCAGATTGCCGCTCAGTATCGTGCCCGGCACTGAATAACATGCTCCCTGAATGCTAGTCGTTTGCGTAGAATCATTTCAGGAGAAATGGTGTCTCCATATTAGCTTGAAGTTGATAAAAGAAGGCCTGGGTGCAGGTGACAAGCCTTAGTCCTGTTCAAGCATCGGATGGGCTATGGTTTATGTGTGGTGGGACCATGAGGGTTTGATGCATCGGGAAAACGTTAAAGAAGCCAAATTGTTGAGCAGCATTTCCGTGTAGCTTAATTGCAAAAATTAACGAAGCCCACGCAGTGACCTTGCTTCAAGCCGATGCCGAATCGCACACCGAAAATAAGTTGTGGAAACTGTCTTGCGAAAGTTTAACTGAAACATTTCTCGACGAATCTCCTATATTCGAACCTTTTTTTCCGACTAATTATTAGCCCTTTTTCTACTTTCTCAAGTCGATAAAAGGCCTTTCTTTTTTAACCGACCGGGTATCGACCCAATTTTTCTGATGAAACTGATTCAAACGTCTCATCTGGAACAATACAAAGAACAACATAGTGGATGGATATGACACGATTGATTCCGCCGCCGCATTTCCAAAACGGTACGGAAACTTTTCCGTAAACTTACGTTTAGCTCTTGGAATTCTCAAGCACATGATCAGTTCGCAACAAATTTTTAATATCGCAGATTGAGTGAGCTATAGTAATGAATTGATTGACCCATTTAAGAAATGATTGACCGGGAACTGTTGTCGTTCGGATCTGTCTGCTTCAGGCTTCTACTCGCTGTGTAAGCTAGTATATATCGTTACTAAACCTAATATCGCCTAATAAAAATTCAATTTTCGGCTTAGGTGCAGTTTTTAATAAAACAAAGAAGAATGAAGATATTGACACATTTACGCTATTTCATAGACAGGGATTTAGAAAGCTCGCAGTTGTGTCAGTTCCAGAAAAAAAACAATAGAAGTATTAATGCGTTTTTGTAAATAGTTACCAAATAGTACTGGAAGCAAACAGAGACGAGAAAAACTATCAACAAGAAAGCCTTTGGTTTGAGCTAAGAGGCTCTCAGATAAAAGCGGCGTTTTGAACACCGGAAAAATACGATCAGCCGACATCAGCAATTATTCACTGACGAGAACATGAAAAAAAAACAAACCGTACAAAAATAACCTTCTATTATTTTTTATGTGCATCCTATTGGGTCGCTAACTGATTATGGTAGACCAAGCTAAACAAATTCGCAAAGGTACAACGCGTAGTGTGTTGGGTTAGCGGCAACATTATACATTAGTTATAGTTAGTAAGTGTGGTATTTTAGCAGTGCCACTCTTATCTGCTTGATAAGATCAACACTACCACTGAATCCAGAGGAGGTCGTAATGTGAGTCGTCCTCAACCCGAACCCCATATATTATCGTCACCTCTATCTTGGTACCGTATTAAACAGATTGTATTATATTACCGATATTAAACAGATGTAGCGAAAAGATCGCGCAGATCTACGGATTTATAAATACAATTTACTCGGATGAGCAGAAAACGAGCTACAGCTGTAAATACGAAAGCGATTGCTATACTTTCGCTACTTAAACACCTGCTTCATCGAATGTTATTCTTTGACCCCGCTGATAAAAAAAAAAAAAAAAAAAACTAAGGGTTCGGATGAACGATAGACTACAGTTATATATACCTCAGCGAACAGCGAGATTTCATGTCTTTATGGGGTATAATGCAAACGATTCATTAGAAAAGAAGTCTATTAATAGCAGATAGTTTGTTTATCAGGCGCTAAGTATCTCAAGTATGAAGCGATAGGGCAGTCATAATTGCAAGTATATTGACTGTGATATATTTACAAAACAGGTCGTTTATCATCACGTTATTTGTGACCGTTTGATTAGCAAGTATTGCAGATTTCACCAACGGACTAGCTATTCCACAAGGTGTCGTGCTTAAACGATCCCTTAGCAGACGTTTAACTGCGTTGGTCTGAACTAACGTCTAGAACAAGGAACCATTGTACGTACGTATACGCCATAGGGTTTGTATATTCCCATATATTACAATGCGGCTCATGCAAAATCAACACGGCCAATATATAATTTTTTTTTTCACAAACTATGTTTGTACACAGTAATATTAAAGTCCCGTCAATGATACATAGTCTACATTACGTCAGCATGACCAGAGGTTATCACTTATGTTTAAACATCACGACGATCCAGATTATTCATGCGAACATAACTGCAGAATTAGTTGCAATGAAATAATTACCTACAGCATATATTCTGCTTTCGGCACCTCGACCGTCTTCCTTGCCAAAATGGACATTTTTAACTCCGCTAAATTAGCGGCGCTAAGGACAAAGTAGCAAAAATCAGAAAACAATCACGACACCATATTAAATATACCCTAATTATATCGAAAATGAACGTCGATTAAATTACTTCATGTTGATAATATCACTGCATGGGGCACCACATGGCGAGTGAAAGCGGACACACAGAATTCAGTTGAGATCGTTTTTCTCTCGCTATTACATTACACATAATAGTTCGAAAACTTAGCGGGCTACTAACGTGCGCCGCCATCTTTTGTAGACACAATTAGCTAAGGAGAATATGAAATACGTTTCCTTTCGTAATCTGGATGGTTAAGAGCTCTACCTTAGTAAACAAGACAAATACTCAATAATTGCTATGCAATAATCAGTTGTATTGTTTGCGTATCGTAACCTGTTTATCAAACACAGATTAGCAACATGTAACTGAACTAACTTTTGTATCGCGTTAATTTGTGTTGTGTGTGCTCTCTCCGTAGCCCTTCTCGTGACTTTTGTATGAGCTTTTTTTGTTCTATAGAAAGCTGCCTACTAAAATTTGTTTTTGTTTCTTCTGGCGGTGCAGCACTCTTCTGGTATCATTCTGTGTTATGCATATAGTGTTAGTCTGCCTCCTTTTGGGTGACGAGCCACTGGCACGTGGGCCTCCTCGTCCGCGGCACAATGTCGTGTTCGTGCCTTTGCCATCTCGTCGTGCGTACCGACTACATCGTGCCTTATGCCGCCGTCGCATGCCCCTTCGTACGGACTGTGAGTTGTTGCCAACCGCAAGCAGAAGCTGTTGTAGGCAGCTTGTATGAGTGGTTGGATTCCATCCGCTCCATCAGATTTTCGCCCGCCTCCAGGAGTTGCGGGCGCACAAGCCAGTCGATAGCTTTCTCCTGCTTTAGATTTTGGCTTCATAGGATCTCACATAGGCAGCCGTCAGAGCCACAAGCCCCGCCCTTTCCACATTAACTCTAAACGCGCAAGCGTAGGACTGCGAGCGCTTTATAGACACAGTTGCAGGGCTCAAGCCATTCCCTAACCAGTTTGCCCCCCCCCCCCCCCAGTTGTCATAAGTGTGTCATTTAAAGGCGAGAGCCTCAATATAGGTGAACAGTGTAATGTCTAAAACAAAGACTCAGTAACAAATGTAAGTTCATAAATGACTACGACAATGCAGGTTACTAATTTTGGGGCAAATGGATTTCTACCTGGAGATTGTTTGTTCTTGTCTCCTGACGCGAAAAACCTTACTGATGTGGAGATCTTAGGTAGGTTTTTCATGAAGAGCGTATTTTTGCAATGAAACATCCACTGAGCTAATTAACTCTACGAACAGTTTGTCGATTGGTTCGTCAGGGGACGTTCGTAATTGTCAGACGTATGGTTTTCAACGAGGTTTGCGATGCAGGCAACAAAAAGCGACATCTCTGTGAGGGAAAAATTCAAATAAAAGATTTAAGCTCTAGCTATTCTTTTTAAGTATAATAATACTATTTCTAACAACGCCGTTGCAACAAAGGTGTCGGATAGACCACTGATTGGCCAAGCAGTCGTCATTAAGCTGACATGTACGGCGAAATATTGTTGTACGAGCAGTGTGTTAACATATCCCTGTAGCAAGAGATGTGCTTAAGCCGTGTCGCTCGATGCTACACGTTCATCCTAATTAGAAACCCTGTGTTTAATCTGTTTCTTTTCGTCGCGACATTAAACAAATGCATTTTGTTAAACCCTTTAATGAAAGCGCTGGTTGGGAGATCCCCTATCGTAATGCTACTATACAGAAATCGGTTGATGGAAATGTTGCTTTCGGATCCACTAGTACGATTTTCGCTCACGCTAACCAGGCACCAATCGTGCGCCTTACGGCGTTTGTTTTTGAGACATTGGGGGAAACCGCTGAATTCCCTTCTCCTCACCGTGGTCCCGCAATAGTAGAGGTGATGGCCTCGCTAGTTATTGCGTATGGATCCCCATCTCCAAATGTAGTGGATAGTGTTGTTTCACACGCGGTCTGCCGGCATCTGCCGGTCGAAGATTTCGGTATTGCGGGGGGTTCTCAATTTAACTAAGCAAGCAATACTGACTGGACAAGCGGCCGACGCTGGGGTCCAGCCGATGATAATGCAGCGATGTATATGACTTAGTCACGCACTAGTCCCCTTTCGTCCCAGAGAGGACTGGGCATATGGATAAGAAGTTGCGAGTGTTTCTAAGCAAAGATGAATTGTCAGCCCCTCGACAACTGACCAAGCTAGCCTGCCCACGGATCGTGTGAAATCTTAAAGAGACTACCAGCCCTGTTGTCGCAGACACGAAGTGTCGTTAATGCCCGCCTATCCCTCTATCCCGAAGCTGGGCTAACCTGCCATGCAACATTGCAGGAGTGTCAACGAAGTCACGCAGCGTTCTCTTGACGACCGAAACGTCACCCGTGCTACCTATGAGTAAGAGTTTCGGACCGATCAATTCATTCACCAGTATCAGTGACGCGCTTGTTATCAATCAACGTACTGCTCAAGCTCGGAGCTTGCCTTCGAAGCGCGTTTAACGAGTTCGACACGACATCAGTCAAAGCTATTGAGTAAAGTTCGGCAGCGAGCGTACAGGATCACTGGATATTGAGCGTATCTAACTTATAGAGAGCAGAAGTCCTAATCGTGTTGCTGTATTTGTCAATCGGCGCTTTTGTTAATGTTGTTGATCTGCATACTGTAACGAAACTGGCAGACGTCATACACACGAGTATAACAATTAATAACAGATTTTTTACGATCGACAACTTGTGGACGTATTTCAAAGGTATCGATCTATGCATGATGCTAGTAGACGAACCAGCCAGTGTCGCCTTGCTCAGATGTTTATTAAGGCGTAGACTTGACACGGAGTTGAGTCAACAAAACGCAAAAAATTTATACGATGATGAATTTGATATAGTGGTTGTGGTTAGGAATTTTGTGCTTCAACAGAAATTGTAAGGACAGAGACTGGTATAAAGAAAGTTTTTGGCTTGTCATATCTCCACGGTTCGAAGTCCGGCAGCCCGCGAATCTGCTTATTGTTAACTTAACATTAATTGATTGACTCAAGTTATGGATTAGCGATGTAAGTCAGAGTGTGACAATAAACGTTCAGTCTTCCATCAACTACGATACACTGAGTTATGCTTCTCTCTTTATAAGGGTATCGTACAAGTAGATTTTGTTGTAAGTATAATTTTTATCTGGTTGTCACGCTAATGTTGGCATGCAGCACGCAGCTATTAAAACTTCATAAGAATGCAATGTAAAAGCGGAAGGACGACTATCAGACACTTCTCCTGGCACTGACAACTTTTGTATCATTAAGTTCCGTTCACATACCACGAACTTACTAACCGGTCAGTTGACTATTTTCATTCTGACGATTATTAATCTAGCCTATCACCGAAGTAAGAAAACGCGCCAATTATGAACAGAAACCCCTAGGCCTCTCAGAGACGTTTCTTGTCACTTGGCCTAAAACATTCGAATGTCAATAGTCTTCCTGCTGTGTTCAATGCTCTTTTTCACAAAAATGGTTGTCGTTATCTTTTTTTTATTATTTCTTTCTATAATCTTTCTTTTTTTAGCATGCTGCGCGCGCAGTCTTCTAATAATATATCTGATTTCTGACTATACAACAATTCGCGAAAGGTACCATAACGATGGAAGTGATAGTACATCGACTTTTTGTGTATTCGAATGTACGATCATGTACCATTATATTTACGTAACTCGATTGCTCTGCCCGGTCGAAATAAAGACGCTGTCTGGGATATACAATTGTTCAACGACAGAGGCCTACTGGGTGCGACCTCCAAGTTACTTACATAACAAGCTTATTTTCATTGACGCTGCCGAAAACAGTCGAAATGTACGTATACAGAACTAGTTTTTCGTTGGAGAATGTTGACGCTGCGCAGATTTTGTACGTATTAGTGGACGGCGTAGCAATCAGTCATACGCTGACCTTTATTCTACATGTCTAGGAAATTGGCGAATTACGGAGCTTACTATTTATTATGCTTATTATTAAAAGAAAAAAAAAATCATTTTTCTTCGTTTCCCTCTGTCTTTTAATCAGCAGAACAGGAAACGAGCCATATTATCATATTTGCCTTTGCTTATATGGGCCGGTACCTCTTCGAATAGCATTGCCACATAAACCCGGTATTGATCCACTCCACAAAAAAACCAAAGCGGAAATAAACCTGACTGCCGGATAGATGATCAAAAGGCTCTCGTTCGCTAAACCTTTACTCCCAAAGGGAGTAAAGGTTTAGCGAACGAGATTAGCTATTTTTTCGGCTTATGCCCAGGGCGCCATTGGTTATTACGATAGCCCCTCCGCCGTGCAAAATCAAATGTTTAAACAGATAAATAATATACTATGATTAATTAGCATTCTCATATACGCAATACGACAAAACTACAATAAATATTTCTTCTGTTTGAATAAAAGCTAGAACATTGGCCCCACATCCAAGAAAGAAGTGAGGCATCACCAATAATACTACAGGTAAAATCTTGTCGTTTCACTCTGCAATGCAAAGGCTTAACTTGTGAACGGAATCGTTGTGATAGGAAGGCCTTGTCGAGGACTTTGCTCCATTTGCTTGCTATTTTTGTACTAACATGACAGCACTCGGCTTTGCCCCTTTCGGCTTTCTCACAACCTAACCTTATAATGACTCGAAAAATAGACGGTCAGCATACGAGCACACTCTGCAATGTTTTGTCTAAAGTCGTTCGCTGCTGTTGGCACTGTGGCCACACGGCGGTAACCGCGAAGCGGAATAACTCGGCTGCGCCGATACCTCCACAAAGACAGCGTCATGCAAAAGCACTGCTGGCGAAAGTGGGAGAAGGGGTCGGGGAAAACCCCCATTGTTGCGTGAAACCCTAGGGAATGTCGTGGCGTAAGCCAATGTAGAGAAAGGGTCGAGGTAGGGAAAGCTTATTCACTTCCAGCAGGTCGATATGGCCAGACGATACGGGGGGCAATCATATCATACCACCAGTCGTCATCATTTTCTGCTTATTTCAAAATATCTAGCAAATCCAAATGTCAGACCGAATGTAAACTCTATAAAATACAACGTGGATTAACTATGACAGAAAACATTATTGTTATATTATTTGTTTATAGGTGCCTGATAAAAGAAGAACCTTCAATATACTTCCTGCGTATTTTCTGTTATTATTATTACCGATGCTTTTTATGGGCGAAATTATTAAGCCACCCGTTTTGAGCGTCACTATTAGAGACAACGCGGCTATTAGACAGACCGAAGATTTATTACGCGGGGATGGACAACCGCTCAGTCTGTTTTTGCGCTCTCTAACTTGACGTTGAACAGAAGTTATAAACTGCCCCCTTAACAGTGAAAAATGAGGTTGTTCTTATTTCAGGACATATTCTACGATAGGCACAAGAAATACTTCAAGCTTTCATCGTTTGCGCTAGGTCCATTTTCATTGAAATGATGCAAACCATTATTTGGCGCGTTGTCGTTTCCTCGGTCGATTGCGACCTCGGTTAGGTGCGGCGTGAGCTGCGTTGTTTATTTTAGCTTTCAAGAACCTGACTCAGGTAACGACGTAGACGGATAGGCCTGTGGTAAAGAGCAAACGCCAGATATCCGGCTCTTGAGATCGGTCCATCTGATCTTCAGTCCAGAAATTGCTTATTCCAATAAAAGTTTTGCTTATGTAAAATTAGCGAAATGTGGGACATATGAAACATAAGGCATAGAACATTTCTCATACCTAAATATACTTTTACATACGAGGCAACAACCTAATATGAAATACTGAACTAAAGCAAGTTCAAACCTTCTTGATAAATTCAATAGATGTCCTACTCTATGGATACAGGCTGTTCATACGCGCTTGTCGACAGACTTCAACCAGCAACTGTCTGATGGAGCAACTGTCTGACGGAGGTGCCTAGGTCCTCTTAGCTTATGTTTCGGCCATTTTTTGTCAACTTTGAATTCTTTTGAATTGTAAACCAAACTTCCCTTTGTCGAAACGATTCTCAAAAATTAAACAGAATATAATAATATAAGGAACTAACGCTCTTAATTGGCGTTTTTTTCGCATATTAATTAAAGAGCTCTGCTGACAGCCGCGACAGCGACTAACTAGAAAGCCATTTAGAAGGCAGGTAATAATTTTTGTAAATTATAGGCATTATATAACCATAGATACACGAGTTTTTATAGGTTTTAAACTAATAGCTAGGTCTGTCATATTTGTTATGATCTGGACGAGCGTTTCGTGAGGCTTCAGCTGCTGTGTACCTAATAAAAGCTATCCGCCGTTGAATCACCTTGAAGCAGACGTACATCGGGGTAACAGCGACGATACCTTTCGCGAAAAGACAGTCCTGGTCGAACATTTATATCCTTTCGGCTATTATGTGACCAGTTTAAGGTGGGATCTTTATTTTCAGTCCCGTACGTTATGTATATATATATATATAAGAGCAATTACAAATTTACAAAAGAACCCTTAACGTGGGCAATAAATTACGACAAAGAGTAAAATGAATTTCGGATCTATTGATCAATCAAAGTCACCTATTAGCATTCAAATACTTGAAATACATATATTCATAAGAAGTTGGCCTAACAAACCTGATACGCGGTGTGCTGCCGCACGTAAGGCAGCTTTATAAGATGGGATGAAACTAATCTTATCAGACGGTCCCGCAAATAGTCTGCCTTACGATTTGCCAACGATTGCATGTTACTGAGTCTATACTTCGGTTGGCTACCGAGTCAGATTGGCCAGCAATTAAAATTGGCCGACGAGATGCATCGTACGTATCTTGAAGTCTTTTACATTTAATACAAGCACCAGATTTATCAGGCGGTGATGGAAAACGTGAGGCATTACATGTCTGTTAGACCGCTTATGTCATTGTCAGGTCTCGTTCGCGACGACGATCGTTTGGTAGAATTCGAAATCTGCCTCTGCGAATTTTCGATCCCATTGGCAGATTTCCCTGCAGTGCTAGTGTTGATTATAGATTGAAACTATGATGGAAAACTTCGGCGGCGCCGCCGCCGCCGCCGATTGTTCTTTTAAGAAACGAGGCTTTTGTCCGATTCAGTTATACAAGGCTCTTGGTCGCAATAATCTCTTAGGCTATGTTCATTCAACGTGTATGTACTCTTTTATTTATTAGATGGTAAAGAGCTAAGGAATCTAATGCTGTTATTCGAACGTGACAGCTAAGTGCTTCCTATGGCGAGGTACCGAACTGTTGCTGCCAGCCCAATGAGCGCGGGGTGTAAATTGAGCTTTCTCGCAGTGATTGCGTTGGTATTTACGAAGGCTGTCAACGTCGTGGGGTGACGGATCAATAGCTGCTGACCATTGCTACTTCTGAGGTTGTGGCGCATGAAGCCATATCATCTGCTTTAGGTTTAAGCTTGATAAAAAGCACAGCATATAGGAATTAGGTGGGTAGAGAGAGCCATGAGCATTTCACGCAGCCCCCGAAGCTGTGACAAAAGACAGATCGTGCAGCCCATCAGAAGGACAACTGCCACCTAACCAACCAACCAACCGTACAATTGATAATGAAAATCGTATATCGTATCTGTATTGCTAGAATCAGCTAAACACATCATCTGATTTGTTGTATGCTATGTTTCATACCGAGCGACATTAACGTAGTGAATAGGTCTTGTCTACCTTGCTACCGTCACCCTTAGACGGGTGGGTCACGTATGGTCGGTAAGTTACAGCTGTAATTGTTGCGTGACAGGACACGATCTCAGAGGGTACATCCGTTACGTACCTAGTTAGTCCATGTGAGGAAAGTGTCCCGTAAAATTTGGCAGAATTAATTCGAATAATTAACTTAATAAAAATCATGGATGAATTTTTCACTGTTGTATTCTTAGCAGTAACCGCAGCAATAAAGCTTAATAAAATATTGCGTCAAACTGCGAAAAAAAAAACAATCAACACTTGGGTCGTACGAGTCTGCTTCGAGCCAAGCCCGGTACATACTGGCCTATGTAGCCTGAATCATCGACGATAAATAGATAAGTCCTCATTTGATCAGGGTATGTCTAACTTTGTGACTAGTTCACTGGATAGTACTGTCGCATTTCCTGCTTCTTTTTGCACCCTCAATAGTTACTTCTTTACAATAGCATCGCGCTATCCAATGACCTGCAGGTTTCTGCGTCGTGTAGTTACAATAAACAGGCGCTTACGCTGCAGGCCGCAATGGCACAGCGTATCAGATATAGCCGTAATAACGTGTGCGTTTATGAGTGAGTTCGTGTATTAATGTACGTGTAAACTTTGTTAAAGGTATCGCATAACTTGTTTCGTATAAAATAATACCATTTCGCGACAATCCCTGCGCGAATCATCCTGCGCATACCGCTTTTCAACGGCTTAGTATTTCAAAATGTGGACAGCTTTTATTGACTTGTGCGCTTCTAGCTGCTCCCAAAACGCATTAATTGAAGAGTTGAGGGAACAATTGAGAGTTAGTGGGTAGTTGATTTCGGCGGAATGAAGTCTACCTGTCGATGTCGAGCCGCACGATATACCGACCCAGGCTAGATAAGCGTTGCAATGTTCCTGTTGAATCGTACGTAAGTAGCATATATTTATATATAATATGGATCAGATCCCTTGGCCTCTCAATAAGCCGCACATAGAATTCTCCTTGACTTAGACTCTGTTCGATCCGGTAAAATCGCATTAGCATATATACATATAAAACGGGTCCTTCCATTGTCACGACTTATATATGTGTGCATTACGCGTCGGCCCCCCGAAACCTAATTTATATAGCTTTCTTATAAACAGTTTGTGATGTTCGCCTCATGAAGTCCCATACATCATGCAGACTGCGTATAGAATAACGATTTCAAGCAAAATGATACAGAACGACTTAATGCATAACGAGCCGATGCGGATGCTTCATGTCCCTTTAACCTTCAAAATACCACTTCAGTATAGCTACTGTCAATGGGTTTATAGACGACAACAACAATGATAATTATAATAATAACAAGGACGTTATTGGGTGCCAGAAGAAGTCCAACGAGGGCGACACTGGTCGGAGAGGCGTCGCTATAGTACAACGCAATATTCTCTAAGCTGTTACGCAAAATGTCGTTCCTAAATGAACTTTCTCAGTAAAACATGTACTCCAATATTACATCGAATATGAGTCAACTTTTAGTATGTACTATAGTTAGAACAATTGATGACATTTCTATTAAAAGATAATCATCTGCGCCCACGTATAACATTAAGAAATTCAGAGCGGGCCATACCTATGGGTCTGATGGATTTATCAATTGAGAAGCATTTTCTCTTAGATTATTTCATCTGAACTCGAAAGAAAGTGTCGAAAGCCTGTCGTTCCGGCGTTGGTTCAACGCGGCTTTCTAAGAGTGAGGAAAGTAGGAGGCAAGTCAACGGCATATGTGCCCAACGGGCAACACCATACAAAATACTTTTTTACATATCATCAGCCATATATTTTGTTATGTTGTTAAGAATCGCACTTGGACACAGAGAAACGACACCCAACGAAATAAGTGGGTTAGATATATAACGAGATACCTAACGATAGCGTCGACAAATGTGTCTATGGTATAATAATATGATGACCCAACTTTGCCCAGGCGATACAGCCAAACCCTCACCTAAAAGATCGACAAAAACACCGAACTACTTCACTTTGAATCACGGTTACTTGGATCTCGAATTCGTTTGCAGTAGCAGGTAATTATAATGACAATGTTGGTACTCAACTGTCTCAAAAAGACCTCTGTTGAGTAAATAGAACGGCCTATGGAACGTAGTGAACGTGACGTAAGTTCGTCGGCTAATTGCCGATAGTTCAAGAATCAATCCAACGCGGAATGAAGAAAATGATTATTCCTTAGAAATGTTCAAATCCTTCAAACTAGAGTCTTTTCAAAAATCCGACTTGCAATACGGGATGCAAAACGGTAGATCACAACATTGTATCTACGGCCGTTATTTAAGATAGGTATACAATGCTGTGGCAGAGGCTCATTCTTCACATGAGATTTCTTCTTGTTTATACGATCTGTCATAATTAGCCTTCATTGCAGTTGCGGCTCGAAGTTAAACTTTGAATAGCGGACGAAAACGCAACTGTTGATAGTGTTAGAAACATAACAAGCGTTCTACTTATTTTTATGGACTATGTAGCATTCGTGTGCCAATGGTCACATGGACAACATCAGCTCTTCAACCAGAATTAGGAAAATCTGTGCATCTTCTCGTAACACCTTGATAGAGTCCCATGGATTTGTTCATGGGACATTTGACAACTATCAGCTAGTTTCTTTCCCGTCTAGTTATGCAAGCACTCCTTTACTACTGATTACCTGTACTTCTATGCCACTGATGCTATTGTGAAGATACGCTGTTGAAGTTCCGAGAGGATGGGAATTTGCCTGTTGTAATAGTTCAAAACTAAATAACACAAACTCCGTAGTCAAGTCAATAATTTTCGCTGTCCATCTTGGTCTTCCAGTTGTCTAACAATACATATAGCAAATCTATTAGTCGTGTCTTCCCATAGGTCTGCTTTTAGATAATTTCATACGCAGCGAACGTAGTGAAATATGCCTCAGTTGGTTTAGTTAACGTTCAGGTGTACAGGTTTAGAGAGATGACACGGAACTATCGGCCAGCTCGAACATTTTCGACTAGCTTGACCAGGCCGTGAAGAATTCATTGGTCCTGATTTCATAGCATTATAACAAGCTTAGGTCAATGGACCGTTAGATCCCTTTTTTTTGTTTGCATGTTTATACTATAAAAATGTTTTTTAATATTTTTCTTTTAATTTTTACGACTTAATTTTTTCACCAACTTAATTTTTCCAAGATGGATACAAAATGCCGATAGAAAAAATTATCATTATTTTTGGTGCAGCACCAACAGCCAAAAGCGACTCTGACCGATAGTTCTTTATTAAATGCTAGTTCCTTTGGGGTGGACTGAGATCACCTACGAGCCCTAGACCCGATACACGCCTGTAAGTTCACCACTTAATCAAATGGAAAAGCCTTAAACCCCTATGGCTGAATAGTGCACTTTTTTTTATGATAATAATACCAATAATCGTAGTTTTATGCCGAAAACGTAAATTGTTTACGCATGGAAACTTCAGTCTGCAGAGGTCACCGCACGATTGGTGTCTGTTCTATTCACCTAATTTCTTCCAATTTTCTTATGACTTTTCAGACCGTCTACAGCATCGTCCCAGGACTCGCTGATGACAGCTGGGAGCCCCGAAGCGTCTTCAGTGTCCAATGGAGATCTGTCGGACAATATTAACGTGGTCGTCCGGGTTCGTCCTACTAATGACATCGAGACACGCCACAAGGACTCCCACGCCCTTCAGTATCCGGGCGAGGGGCAAATTTTGGTACCAGCTAAATATATCCGCTCTCTTTTTACTTGCAATAGACTGAAAGGAAAACTATTCATTTGGGCAAAGCGACATAAACGTAGAATGAATATAGTCAATACTACCTAGCTAACCAATATGTCTAAACGCTGATCCGGACCAGTTTTCGTTGTACAAATTGAATCGCATTATAGAAAAGATGATAAAAAATCAATCGATTAGAGCTATTTAGCCTAAAGGGCTTCCAATGCTAACTCTGAACAAACGTTAGTCGAGAAGAGGTATAAACTGTTTACATTCCGAAGTCTGAGAGGCAATTGACGCTTCAGAGAAATAACATGGATCAGGTGAAAATACACGCGTTGCTCTGGCTGAATTGGCTAAGCCCAGTCAATTGCAGCTGGAAATATTGGAAGCTCTTAAATGTCGCTAACTCTCCCTTCTTTCTCTAGTCTATCGCTTTCCTTGTTTGTTGAGTACCTGAACCTGTTCTCTAGCATCAATAGCTATTCTATTCCAAATAAACTATGTATAAACAGTAATTAATTACTTACAAGTTAGTTTTGGATGAAAAAATTTATAGAAAACACAGGTGTTTTTTTTTTCCATTTGTTTGTCCTTCCTTCACATGCTAAATTTCTTCACTGTCGAATTTTCATTTGCTATCGTACTATTTATCATACGCAATTCATACGATGCCGTTCGATAATAAATATACATACGAGTGACTATGTTACGTCTGATATCGATTCCTTTCTCGCGTTTTGTCTAAATGTTCATTAATTTCGATTGATTCCTAGGAGAAGCTCCCGTCTGGTATAAGTGTGCGAAGTTACTTAGTTGTTTCACTTTTTTGGGACCGCCGGTTCGAGTCGACCCACTCAGCATAGCTAATGAATCCATCCTGATTGGCGTCGAGGTGAAGAAAGGCGTCCACTAACGCTTCGAGCTGTTCCACCGTAAGTCCTGCAATGTCAGGACGCAGAGCAGTTGAGTGGGATACGATTTTCATAAGTTCGAGTCCATCAAGAAGATTATTATTGTCGAAATCGTGCATTCTCATGACGTAGAATATTGACTGCTCGTTCGATATCGTTCCCTCTTTTTGCAAGTCGATAAGATGCTTGAGATCTTCTTGGATGTGTTCTGTGTCCCGGATGATGCTTTCGGAGTTATACTTCTCACGAAATTTGTCTATCGCGTCTTCATTGGATAGCCCAGCGTTTGCCTGCTGCGTCGCAACTGGCCGCAGAATAATACCCAAGCTACAAATAAAAATCGATAAATTTATGAGTGCATATATCGAATTGGGCATCTTTGCTTTTTATTTGCTCTGCACTATCACACAGAACTCATTTAGAAATCGCTAAAACACTCGAAGCTGACGCCGATTTTATAAAGTTACAATGTGCGTATCAGTTGCCCGTTCACTAACTCAGTACATCCAAGGCACAATACGGCCGTTGTACGCGGTGGATGCGCTATGTCAGATAGATTGAAACTGTTTTACACCTTCCTAATACTCTGTCTGGACAAAACGTTAGTTTAAAACGTCTAGTTATTATTGATACTGATAGTAATAACAGTGTCGTATATCTGTCGCAACGAGCTGGCCGACCAAAATCGAGCGCGATGATTCAACATGAAATGTTCAAGACCTCAAACAGTGGCGACACAATGGACGGATATGATAGCTATCCGTCTCGATACTTCACAGCCCAAATGATTGCACAAGCTAACCGCCATAGGCCACCTATTGTTAACATGTTTGGCTGAACATCTGTTCTTGTATCGGAAATTTGCGAACTTATGGATTGCGTCTCTATAGAGAGAGAGAGGGAGATAAAGAGGGCGCTGCGCCGCTATGTCGTTGCCTTTCGACTGGGGTTTCTCTCTTTCGTGTTGCCAATATGGCGCTTCAATGTATCACTAGGCTTTGTTCAAACGCCATATATTGGCAAATGACGTTACTGTAATCGTAAACGAACGTTTGCCCGCATCGACTAGAGGCGTTTTATGTATTGCAAGCTTCTACTACTTGATTATTTACGAGTTGAAAAGTCGACTGTCGAGATTCGATAGGGACGACAGTATATGTTGACATCATTCATAGACTGAAAAATCTATTGCACGCCACAGCGTATGGTTACGTTCGTATGCCAGTCACTTGCCAGACCAACCGGGTGTTTCCCTGTACGCGTATGTTCGTGCATTAGATGTGCCATGCCAATTCATCTTCATAGTATATACGATACTGATAAAATTGCAGTTGTAAGTGGCTTAAAAAATCAATAGACAATCGATAGATGTTGATTCTCGCGCAACAGCTTCGACAAATCGCCGCGTGCAACGTTTCCGCGTAAGCTCTATCAGCAACTTGCTCTGTCTAAAGTATGTCAGCTTATCGTGCGCCTTTTCGAATATCCAGCCGATAAGAAACTGATCAATATTCATCAAACTTTTCCTAAACGGTTCGGAGGTTATGTTAGTTAACGTCACATGAAAGTCCTACGCTCGTCATGCCTAGCGCGTTCCTACATGTATAGTACTTAACCCTTTGCGGTAAAGTTTATCATGCATAAAAAAAAAATTGCTTAGCGTAGAAAAAGCTAGACAATTAGATATCTGATCTTGATTACAGGTGGACGAGGAACAGACGACGCAAACAAAGCTATTCACCTTTAGCGTCGTATTTGAACCTGAAGCAACGCAAGAGGACGTACTTGAATATTGTGGAGTTAAACGCTTATGCGACGCCGCGCTCGATGGGTAGAATCCAACCACAAAAGAGTCATAAATGCATGTTATAGTCTAACGCGAAATTTTTACTAGAATACTTTGCAGACGACTACGGCACAGTACCAATGGAATAACTCGCACCGATGTCAGCCGTTTGTCAACGTTAGGAAACACGTATTGGACAATTTTCGACTACAACCAACTCGTTGACGCTATCACGACAACAGGACACCGAACCAAGATCCACCAATCAAAAACCCCACAGTGTCAGATAAATGCCTTGGTAGTAGAATCTGGCCTTCGTAATCCAGCAACCCTGAACACCTCCGAGATTAGGGAAGGACACAGCGGCGCCGCTAATTTAAGGCAGGCACTGTTTTTGGCGGGTAGCCATGACTGGGATGAAGTTGTTCAGGCAGATAGAACGTCAATACGTTATTTCCCAAACGGGAAACAAACTAGCTAACTATCGGATACATAAATAAGTTTATAGAGATATAAACACTGATTAATTACGTTCACCGATAACAACTTTGCTAATGACTACGCCTCTAATAACAACTAGTGGGTCAGTTATTACTGTTATAACGGCAGCTTTTGAACGGTATGAAGTTGTTTACCGTCACAAGCTGTGCTACAACTGACAACAACAGTTTTACAATGACTTTCTTTCGCAGATCAATCAAGTTTACCTAGAGGACCCCATCTTGAGAACACCTTTATGTTTCGAGTTTTGCTGGCTGGTTCGAAACGAAGTCAGTCCGTTTATGCCCGGGCTTGAACCTAGACCCAACGTGTCCCAACGTGGACCACAACCAACGTATAAATGCCTGTACTAAAGTAAAAATTCGTGTTTCCATTTGATTTTACGGACTATGACTTCATTCATATTCGCTTTGTGTATGTATATTAGATTTGCGTCGACAATTATGGCGTATGGACAGACCGGCGCTGGTAAAACCTATACGATGACCGGCACTGAAGCAGGCAAGGATAATCAACCAGGACTTATTCAGCTCTCATTTGCATATCTATTCAACGAACTAAAGCAGAGAAAGGCATGCTTCTTTTTCTAAAATATAATCCTTCTACAATATGGAACTTTCCCTGTGTCGTAACATTAAATCCCTGTGTTGACAATCTATACTTGCTTAATGCTTTCCACTCCTCTAGGATAAAATGGGCATTTCCTTGTCTGTATATACAGCTGCATCGTGAATTTTTGAATGATGATTATATATCTACATTGAATACAGGAGACGACGTACGTGGTGCGTGCGTCGTACCTGGAAATCTACAAGGAGCACGTTCTGGATCTCCTGAATCCGTCGCCGAAGAGTTTGCAAGTTCGATGGAATAAGAACAAAGGCCACTACGCCGAAAATCTATTTGTGGTCGAATGTGAGGATATCGGCGACCTTCAGGGAGTCCTTGAGGAAGGTATGTAGTTTTCGCGACGTAGACATCAGATCGATGCGATATATACTATTTTCAAAAACGCTTACATCCTTCCATTTGACCACGTTCATGACGGAACTTTAATAAACAATCAATAATCTAATGTAATTCATAGCTTAGCCTGCCACTCTAAAGTTTTGGAGACCTTAAAACATTCCAACCGTTCGATGTTATCTGATATTTGTTTTTTCGACCTTTTAGGCCAACATGTAACTAACTAGAAGTATGCTTTAAATGATCGTAGCGAAAACCCCAGCTGGTGAAATCTACGTAATACTTTTTACTATTCGGTTAGTATCTAGGTTATTTATATTCTATAACAAAAATAAGCCTTTGACGGATCCATCTGCAATTGTCGTCCCGGTGGAGCCGACTAGTCATTAGAATTACAATGGTATGCAAAGCAGGCGTTTCGGTCAATACCGCCCCTGTTTTCTTTGGCTTTTCGGTATCGATGCGGGTCATCAAGAAGAGAATATCCTACCGCTCCATTCGAAAACCTTGGTTTTTGGCAATAACAAGCAACAGATATTTTGCTTTTCGGCACCAGTTGAACCTTCCAAACCTGTATACTTTCTAGGTATCCACGGTACCCGTTTTATTAGTTATTTATAAAAATACACAGTTTGCAAGCTGTTGCTCAAATATATCGTGGGCTAGATACTAAAAACTAATGGCATTAGGATCTGTAATGTAGTTTTGGTCTTCTTATTCTGACAAGACCGTCTGTAAGGCGAGGAAAGGTACAGCGGATTTTCGCTCAGGGTAACAGATCGTAATAATAACATCGTAATAACGCTATTCGCTTAATTTTTACGTACGTTCTAACGCTGTGATGGTCTATTGAAATCGATTTGCATGGTTAAAGAGAAACGTCGAATCGGGTAAGGCACGGAACGAACAATATTGCACAAAGGATTTCTGTCCGTGAAGGACATTTTTGAGTTAAGGCCTTACGGCCAAGCTGCACGGGGTCGATCATTCTGTTTTCACAACGAACCACGATTTATATAGGTAGATATAAAACAGATGCATATATGCATGTTGAACTGTGGATACAAAGTGGGGAGTTGATATTTGCAAACGGCTGAGTGGCAGAAATGGCCCCGATGGGTGGAAGTATTACCACATACGAAGTAAATACGGGTAGACAAATTAAATGTGAGCGCTGTGTTTCTCCAACTGTGTTCTTACATGTAGGCTTTATTGACGATGTGATGTTGTAACTATTGCTGGCATGGAAGGTTCGGCCACTTAGGTGTCGTACTGAAGGCCCGAAATAAGGCCGAGCTAATTGTTGATTTTTTTATAATTTTCAATAAGTAGTCATACTTTTTACTATCAGGTAGCAGCTCTAAGCAGTTTAAGTAATGGTACGCCGCTATTGTAAGCAACAGCCTTGGAGTCGCTTAGCTTGGCGCTTAATATAGACAATATGAACAAAAGGATCCGAGAAGCCATGTAAACTTATATTGGCTCAAAAAAATATGCATGCGCAGTAAATATCTAGAGGATTTGATACAAAAACCCATCATATATTGATTTTGTAATAGGTTTTCATTGCCCGTAATTTTTTGTTCATACTCTTTATTGAATTCTAAGTAACTAAATAACATGGCAAACTAAATCTGATTAGACCTAGCCAATTACTAAAACAACTCATCTGTGTCGGTATCAATCGGAAACTTGAACTTTTTGATTATTTCAGTGGCTGGGCAGACAACTGACCTTTAGCTGTCTACTCTACTAAAGACGAAGGAGAACAAAAAGTGTAAAATTGAGTTTAACACTGAGCTATTGAACATCGATATGATATGCTATATAACAACCTATATAAATGATGAAGGTATGACTGCAATTAGCAGTCCGCTCGTCAAGAAGCCAGTATCAGTCCGTTTCAGTAATTTCACATAAAACAAGGCGGCGTCTAATATCTAATTCGTATAGCTAATTTCTGGGTCGTTTGGGTATTTTCAGGCCGGAAGAATCGTCAAATCCGTTCGCACGAGATGAACGAACATTCATCCCGTTCGCATACAATCCTCACCGTGTACCTCAACTCGGAACAGAAGGACTTCGATGACCCAACTAGTTATATTCGCAAACAGGTACAAATATGATGTGAAAATACAGTTTCGTCAATATTAGAAACATATGAGCTGGCGTTATAAACACGGTTTTGCGATGATGCCGTATAATTCTGTTGAAATTATCAGAACATTTTTGACGGAAGTGTGTAGGAAGGGGGTGGTGTTAGAAATTAGAAGTGAGCTCAACGCTTCTACATAATTCGTTAGCAGGCAATGTTAGTCATCAAGTTATTCCTGAAGCTCATAGCAAATGAAAGGGAAACGTAGGCTGGTCGATTGAGTAAACTAGAATTGAAGCCGAAAGGCTCTAATTCCAATAGGCCATATAGGATATTTTTTAGTCCCTGGTATCGCTAGAAGGTATCATTGTTCTGCTAAACTCGAGCTGACATGAAAGATCTCGTTGAAATTGAAAACTGAAAAAATCAAGTCATTGGCTCTTGTTCCTCCGCTGTGACGCTATTTAATGCTGCTTTAGACCTGTCCGCGGACAACAAAATAGTAAAGCAAACTATTTTACAGGGCAAGCTGAGTTTTGTCGACCTGGCAGGTTCAGAAAAGACGAAAAAAACAAAATCGCAAGGAAGCACGCTTAAGGAAGCCAACAACATCAATAAGAGTCTCCTCGTGCTCGGTTAGCAACACGTGTCGTTTCTAATGTGTCATTAAGTATAACTATTTAACAGACAAGTATCCGCATTCGTTCAGATAGATCCAACCAAAATAAGCCACAGACTTCGTGTTACAGCTGATCGTCATGTTCCTAATAGCTGAGTGCCAGCCGGCATACAGTCTAAATATCACCCGCTTTTCATCGCCCTGTCATAATCGCGTTACGTTGGTATATCGTATAGGCAATTGTATTTCAATGCTAGCGGATCCGAAGAAACGCAATGGGCATATCCCGTACCGGGATTCAACGCTTACAAAACTGTTGTCAGACTCCCTGGCTGGAAACGGGATGGCACTTATCGTAAGTGGACGTTAACGGTTTCTACTATAATACGTGTGAGCGTATCTCGTATTGAACATGAATTATTGTTGAAATGTTCACCGTGCAGGGGCAAATGAAGAACTAGCATTAAAAGCACGTTTTCGTATGTGAGTTGAATATATCGTGTTTTTTTTTTAGATCGCCTGCGTATCTCCTGCGAGGTCAAATACGCTTGAGACTATTCAGACTCTACGGTACGCCTCGCGCGCGCGAAGGGTTAAAACTAAGCCGATGGTTCGAATGGTGAGTCCTTTCGGTAAATTGAACCATACACACCACAAAAAACAAAGCTCAAGTTCGGTGATTTTAGTAGTTTAATAGTAATTTATTAAAAGTCTAGTAGTCATTAGGTCGTTAAAACTTCTCAAGGACATGTAGTAAAACAATCGTCAATGATCTGGGCAGATACTAAATAAATAAACTATTCGCATGTCCTATAGCAGGCAGTCATATTGGTATAAATAAGGTTCCAGAGTTTCGATCAGGCTTAAATCAAAAAAGTGGTTAGTTCCGACGCTTTGCGTTAAGCAGTTTATTATGCCGAACGCGTCACAGGCGCCGTAACCCTGAGAGACTGAATTTAGGACAGTTATGGTTGCTCGGCTGCAGTTATCACGAACGCAGGAAACGTAAGATAGATCAGTTTATTGCGTGCAGACTCCGTTTCATATTTGATAAATATCGTATTTTATCGTCTGTTAAACAGTGAGTAAACAGTGTTGGTATCAGTAAGGCCTATGATGCATAAATAAATTATGTGAACAGTTTGCTTAGAAATCAGCGTATGCTTGTTTATGTACCGCTCTGAATATATCTTTTTAAAGAAGAAGGCGGCCGCTAAAGCTAAACTTTAATTAAACCGATGGGTAAGATAGATACAATAAAGTAAATCCAAAACAGATTTAAGAACCTCCATTGTGACCCGAACCTTCAATGTGTTTAGAGGTCGGCCTTTTTACCTTTGTTTGTTTGTTTGTTAGATACATGCAAATATAGCGAGATTATTTTTAACCATTTCTCATTTCAGCACAACTCCAGCCGAGCTTCTGGGCATACAGGTATCAAAGTAGGGTGGAACATCATTATCTAATTATTAGTTATATGCCGCTATCAAATCGGTATCAACATTAAAGAACGTTCATATCTAGTCTTGATATTCTCCGATGATGAGCAGTAAACATATTTACGAGTTGCCATTGAACATTACGGGACTGCGCCTGTTTTGGCCTACGTCAGGCTAGAACTTAACGCCTGAAAACTGCGTCAACAATGATCGACCGACGTGGAACGTATGCATAATCGATAGACGACCTGAGCAATTTATAGGAGTCAGTTGGGCGAGAATAGACGCAAAGGGGCTGACCTTCAGCAGTCGAAATGAGCTCTCGGTCAACATCTGGAAACGGCTAGCGACTGCTATTTCTCTAGGCATTGTACTTATGAACTTGGGCACGAAATCGGCTGACAAGCTCACGACTAATATTGGTGGTTTTCCGGAGCCAGATATTGTCCAGCCATAGGCTCGTTTCGGCATCTCGATTAAGGCAATATCGATATAGCAATAACTCCGATCAGATTCTAATCAGACTCGGTATTTGGATGCAGGCTAGCATCATTTGAATGCAAAGTAATACGCGTGTCATTACCGTGACTGGCTTTTCGGCCAACAATACTTGAAAGAATCAGAGTAGTAAAGTAGCGAGTAAATATCTGGTGAAGTCTAGTCGTATGTGACGCTCACAATTGATTCGCTATCGCTACGCGAATCGAACACAAGATCCAGTGGATGTGGCTACCTTGACGTCAAGGCCAACGTTCAGACTACGTAGACGCTTATGGGACTCATTGTTTCGCGTCCTTTCAGCTATGGGAAGAATTATAGTAGGTCGGGTTGTTTCTTGATTATTACTACTGGAGCCGGTATCTAGCACGGACTGAATTATCTTTTTATATCAGGCGACCAATTGGAAATGGTGGCACTTTCCGTGTGTCCGGAAGCCGCATTAAGATTCCCTCTTTTGATTCATCTCTCTTTGGGGGCTCTCAGCCAATGAAGTACGATGGCACAAGACGCTGGCTATAGTTAAGACGTAAATTTCCAATGTGGGAGCTTAAATAGCAGTCTGTGAAATTGCACTTTTTTGTGTGCATGTCGTATTTGAAAATGTATGTTAGTCCGGAGGACTACTGGTGCATTTAGGAATAACAACGGAAGGCGACTGAAGTGCATCCGCGAAGAAAAACGACTATTTTTAAGATGCCGTGCCTTCAACGCGTGATAAACATTACCGACAGCCCCTCAGTACCCGGCTCAAGTCATTAACTAGCGTATTACCACTGAACACTTGAATTAACCTTCAGTAAATATATGTATATAGTAGTCTCCAGAAGGCTAAACTGTAAGTAAGTAATCTTAAGTAAGACCTGTTGAGTTCACTTGTCTTTTTTAATATTCCGACACTAAGGCCACCTAATTAGTCTACGCCAGTAACTCGAACTTGCTTTAACCGTCTTGTCAGTGAAGCTACCCTGATAATGTTCGTGCCTGTTCTGTTACTACATGCTCAAAGTAACGGTGTTAAAAAGTAGCATACTATTATATACTGGGCAAGTGCCGATTTCGCTTAGCCAACCGACAACTACTAATGTTGCGGAAACTGGAATCAAAGAGGACGTTACATCGTCGCGGTGTTAGAGATTACGCATGATCTCGTTGACTCGCTACTTTTTACCCACCTGTAACGGATGCTAAAAAATGAGTGGATCTTTCGCGATAGAAGATCCCGTTTTTTAATGGATCACATAATGTTTACTGCTAGATGGCCGGACAATCAGGGTCGGGTTGATCTTAGTTGACCTCTCGTTATTTCTGAGCAACCTTACAATGCTAGATACATTCTGCTCATACATTCTGCCGTCCGTAACACTATTCGCAACATTGAATACAGAACTTGGATACAAGGTCCTGACAGTCCCGAATCTGTTAGCTAGAGCTTCTGTACCTTGACAGGATACGTCTTCGCTAGTCTCTGTGATCTCGTTGCCAGACTACACGCAATCACTGGTTCCCAGTAGATCAGTCGCTCTGTCCTAACTGTCTATCCGTCCATGCCCGAGATTCTCCATCACAAGTTACAGGAATAGGGATGTGTTTATCGCTACGGTTACGTTTTTCAACCTTCTCACACGTTACGCCATAGGAAGTACGAAGTTTTTAGTCACCTTTGGGGGTCTGCTATGCCGGACACTGGCACGACAGATAAGTGAGGCACCCATACAGAGATGTGTGAATAGACATTTACCTCCTCCAATCATATGGAAAAACTCGTTAAACTCGAAACTAGGATAAAAATCGGACAAATATAAGCTAAAAAGTACAAATATCACGATAGAATATGCGACTAACCGCTAAAAAATGAGTGTGCTTTGCCGATGACCATTTTGATGTTCCGTACGGACGCTCACGGTAGAACTTGAAGCACTGAAGATCATTTCGGTTTTATGCATTCACACATGTTGTTGTGATATATATATATATACAAGAGTGATCCGAAAGGTAATAATTAACCTGCTTTACCTGATTGCTAGTAATGATTTACAGCTTAAATGGCTGTATTTTTTGAAGACGACTCTCTAAGATGTTTTCGGTGAAGCAGAGTGTGGGAGACTGGAAGGAAGGTCGCCGTTTAGATCTCATATTTGGAATGATCATATCTTAATTTCAGTTCATTGATCTTTTTACCTCGCCAAAAATGAAGCAATATATGATGCCAAGGTAACTTCGGTGTTCAATGTATGGCATCCTGTTCTGAGGAAAGATGCTAAAATCTGATGAGACCGCCATTGCTATCCTCTGTAATATTTCTACATAGCATTTTTTCAATGGTTACGTAAACGAAAATTGTAGTGTTTTTACCATAGATAGAAGCTACTCTCGAGAGATGTCTGAATTGTTTTCATGTTAACGTTCGCATGATAGGGCACGTAATAACCCTATCATCTTCCACTCGTGTGCGTGCCTCTGACACAGGACCCACGAGAGCTGACCATTTTGTCGCTACGTCGTGAAGTGAAACTTCTACGCATGGAAAATGCCTATCTTAGGCAACAAATCAAGAATAACGCCGGCGCTGTCAAGCTTGACAAGGTACGTACACTTCAGCTGTCATTGACTTCTACCGCAATGTAATTCACCATCCCTGTATATATAAAATGTTATCCATTTTCAAATTATACCAGTACATGTAACACGCTAGCTCTGATTTCAGCCATGCCACGTATTGCTCTATGCATCGGGCAGGGGACCATGGAGACAGGTTTCTAAGCATTGACATGCACCCTAGGAGCTTTATCTGACATCAAATATAACAAGTGGAACTTTATGTCTAGCTGAATTTTTATAAAAGTAGGACAATTAGGTTAGGTTCCTAGCTAACGCCGTAAAAGTCATATAAGTTCAACAACTTGCTAACCTCACACGAGGGAGTATACAACCACCGCCACAAATAGTACTAATATCATTGAGCGTATGCGAGATACGTTTTTGCGGCTTTGCTTCGACACTGACAAGACTAGTTCAGCTCTAAAGATTACATGTAATACGGTAGGCTGCTGTAGAAAATTGAAGTTCATCCAATAACTATACACCGAAATAGATACTGACATCTGGTAATTTCATTGATTATATGACTACTTTGGAGTCTGGAAGGCGTACTTCTATTAGCAAGAAAAATACATAATACCCAAACGACCGGCCTATTATTCACCTGCGGCATGTCCTGTTAGTTCAGATCTTTTTAGTATCGCGTAGTAATAACACCTTCATGTTGCTCAAGGTGGTTTCAACTGCAGTTCTTCCTAAAACCCCAGACTCAGGCTTAGAAATTGACAATAGCGAGGATCCGATCAAGGATAGGCAAATGGTCACCAAGTACATGCAAGAAAATGAGGAACTCAGGTATTGCATTTGACGATGTTACTTATGTGATAACTTCTTACGTAGGACAAAGTTTGGCTACTTTGCGCATTAGAATGAAAAAGCATTCAACTTACTTACACAGTTGGGTATCTTTAATCTATTCTTTTTAATGTTGCAGTAATGATAGATCTTTTTTTAAATGTGCAGAGAAAATGTACTGTGCTGTTAAAGAGGTAGTAGATACCTTCGTCTGCTGCACTATCGAAGATGATTTAATTTCAATAGAATTTGATTGTTTTGATAGTTTTACCTGTTTACAGCTGGCTATTGCACATGTTTATTTTAGAGCGGAAAATGCTGAAATACATCGTATCAGAGAAATCTTGATTCGAGACCATGAGGCAGTCTGCCGAGAGAATGAACGCTTACAAAATAAACTGCGTGACCTGGAAATGTAAGCACAATTTGCCTTTAGCGAAAACGATGCTACTTATTTAACATAAATTTTAAACTAATTGCAATGACGAGAGTATGGGCCTCGAGTAAGTTGGACAGAACGCCCGGAAAATGTTTATCTAGCAAGCTATACCGCAATCTAGCTACTTTGCACCTTCAAATAACCTGACCGCTACTATAGCCGCTATTGACGTGAAAAAAAAATAAAATAAAACAACTATTAATTTAGTAGTAAATTAGCATGGTAGTAAAAGCGTTTTAGAATGTCTTGTAGTACCTTATGCGTGCTATACATAGTTATGCAATATATATATATATATATATATACGTTGTTTGATATGAAAGCTTCACACATATACAGCTCATGCTTATAGAGGGCTTGGACTTGACAACTGTGCACTTTCTACTCTATTCGCTCACTTAGCGCGGCGACAAATGGTGAAGGATTGAGTCCAGCCATGTTTGGAAGTACTCCGACACCGCCATTGGGCACACCTGCATCTGCCGGAAACGGCAGTTGGAGAACTCTGCATGAGCTCGCCAAACAGGTACGCTATAAGTAAACGAGAAGTTAAGCTAACGTTTTTTGCTATTTTCATATGAAGTACATCTATGACAATGTCAACATGTGCTTTCAACGATGGACGTGTACCATTTTTTCTTTATTCGTACACCTTTGTTAAAACCAGCTCCATAGTCTCTCTGTTTTAGGATAGGCCATCCATCGATCAGAGGGTTGGCTCCCATCTCCTAACACGGAACGAAGCCCGGGCATGCTCGGGTTCGAATCGAAATCTCCCTCATTTTGTTTCAAGCCTTTTCTACATATTAGTGACTTCTTAGTTTGAATTCACAATGCAATAATAGTTTAGGGTTTTTTTTTTTTATTTACGACTCTATTCGATATAGCCATTAAGGCCAGTGTTCTTATTTACTACCATTGAAGAAGCTGATTTTGCTTGTTTCAATGAGTGTATTTCAGCCGCTACCGAACAAAAATATGGATAAGGAGTTAAGAGAAATTCGCGATACGTTAGGCTCGTCTGATAGTGGCGGTTCGGGTAGGCGAAGTAGGCAGACCTCACAAGAACGACTCTTGCTAAGTCCGACCGTTACAAAAATTGGAAGATGCTAAGCTTCGCCAGGTGTATGAGGAAAGCCATCAGCGATTCGAACAAATTTAGCGAGAGTGGCAATAATAATAATAACGATCATATGATAAGAAAAAATGAGTAGGCAATGGTCGTTGTTGTTGTTTAATAGTACTGACATATGTGAGCGCGTTGTTTCGCGGCCGTTGTCAAATCAGAACCGTTAATATTCTGGATAGAACGGAAAGCCCAGCGTCGTCTATTACGTAAACGCAGTAAATCTCCGTACAGGTTTGAAGTAATATTGGGAAAAATTTTACTATATACCATATACTTACCTGCTCGAAATGGAAATCTAGTTACTAGGAACGACTAGTTCATCTTCTGCCCCGAGTTGCAACACAAGCAGTTACGGGTTTTACCCACTTTCCCGTTTCCCTTTATCAACCTGGCCTAATAGACCACATTGAAAGCTTTAGTAATTATTCTCCCGTCTGCTCTACCGATTGCCAGCTTGTAGCGAACCGTTGTTCAGAACAATGTAGCATATACATTAATGTCTTGCATAATATATGGCAGTATTTGTAAGGGTTCAACGCTAATGTGAACTATGTTTTTTCTTTCTTAAGTCTCAATGGAAATCAGACCTTACTGATCTGACTTACATACAAATCTGATTTACATAGAAAGTCGATAATTTAAACCGAAATTCGTTTAGTTTAACAACGGAGCTAACGTGAGGCGATAGCGTACATAAATGGTTTATTGGGAGCTCGTGTGGCTTGGAAAGGAACGGCAATTGGAGAAGAATTTCTACAGAAGCAAATAGCCATTGTAGTAAATGCTCCTTTTATATCTGATTTTACTCGAGCATATTATACATCTCTTTGACGTTATATATGCGTCGATCTCGTTCGGGTGTTATAGGCTACGATAGTGGGAGACTTTTAAAAATCCAAATCGCAAGTAACCATTATTACAATACATACGATAACGACGTATCGCTATCTAGAACAATAGCAACTCGACTGTCGAATACAATGGACTCTTGGTGGTACGAATAAACTACTGGTAATCCCCAAATACTATATACCACGTAACTAGAAGTTATAGACATGTTGATTAACAACAAAAGCTACAATGAAAAATGCTACACTGAATAGAACAACAATTATCGATAGAGATTTTTCAGTCTGGCTAGACCTACGAGTATCTCGCTTTTACGAGGACCATTCTTCAAACGTATGAAAGGAAAAGGCTATTCAAATACTGGAAATCGATCGGTGCTGAAAGACGGAGCTTTATTAGTCTGCTGAGATGTCTAAAATCGTGCGCAAATAGCTCATAACAATTGAGACACACAGAGAGGCACAAAGAGTTGCCCAACACGCACGCGTTGCCCCATGTGCATTGACTCTCATCTAAAACTGCAAATTTTCCCGCCGAGATGTGTAGCCGGCTGCCGGGGCCTAGCTCACGTTGGGACCGATAGGGGTCGCTGACGTCGATCTGCAACGAGTGGTCGATGATCCTTCGTTCTGGGCTAATAATGTTTCTTTTAGTTTTCTGATGTCCAGCGAAACTGTACATATCGTATATCGAGGAATAAATAAATCAGTAAAGTCCTGGTCGTAGATGGTGTTTTTTTCCTTATTTTAACGATGCTCATGTTACCAGAAAAGTTACCTAGTTATGTTCATTTGCCATGCTCTGCAATTGTGCGATATATCTAAGAAGAAGTTTCGTTTCAACGACAGTAGATGTAATAACCCCAAGTACCGGTGCTTATATAATATCGTTAATTAAGTGTATAACCTAAAATTATCTTCGAAGCTTCCGTTTTATCTAGAGTATAAATTGTATAAATATAAACCTAGAGTATAAATGCCTATAGTAAGAATAAGTATAACAACCTTAAATAGTTTGGCCTGATCAAGAAGTCCAGAAATAAGTATTATTTGTCCCTATCGAAGGTTTATTGTTCACGGTATATTGTATATTTTGCTTCTTTTCGGATACTATTCGTTGAGCTGTGAACTAATTAAAAAAATAGCAAAACTCAACATCGTACGATCTGGGGCCATATGTTTGCGTTCGCGTACCTATTTCGTCCCGTTTCTATATATATTTTATGCTGAATTCTTACTGACCCTGTTGAGTAAAGTGCCTTGGCTTAGGGACAGCAAAAAGATTATGTTCAAATCATAGAGAACGATTGCTCTTGGAAGCTAGAATATGGTTATATTTCGGTACATTTTACAGGCGTAAAATTGCTTGGCGTAAATGAAGGGTAAAATTGACGATACAATGCTAGACGAATCTTAATAATACATCGAATAAATTTCCGTAAGAGCACAAGAAGTCGGGTGAGGGCCTTTAAGTTAGGTTAGTTATTATTAGTAATAGGTTAAGTTAGGATAATGTCTTTCTTAAACAATAATCTTGAAAACTAAACGATTTTCTTCTATAAAAGCAGTCGAAACTTCTAACAGATTGGCCAGAGTCACTTCAGCCCCAAAGTGAGGAAAATATTTACATAAAATCGTTTTTTTTTTATTTAGAACTAATCTGAAACACGCTTAATTGATCATAATCAGCTCTCACTTTAATCTCGTTAACCACGAGATCTGCTAAACGTTTTCGTATCCTACAACAAGTTCCACTTGTTGCTAAGACATAGATGTACCTGCCGATATTACTTTCTCCATAAGCGTTCGCCCCTACGTACGAACTTACTTACCCAAGAAGCCCACGGAAACTTCATCAACGACAGTAACACCCGTCCGAAGAATAGCTATAAAGCTACGGAGCGTAGCTGCTACTGCATGGTCTGGCCTCAATGCTCACATGAACAATGAAACGCAGTAACAACCCGTGCCAACGTTTCTGATCCACAAACGACGCTCACAAGCAGTACTTGCTAACCAGGGAGGGCAAATGAAGACAATTACTGGTCTGCCAAATTGAATGATCGATTTGTGGCCTGATCTGTACATTATCGTAGATTGTATGAGCGAGACTTTCTAATGGCACCACTTGATGACAAGCATCTTTAACTAAATAATACCGATATTAGCAGCACATCAATGCCTATGTTATCCACAACATAATGATAATTTAATGGCCATAAATAAAGCTAGTTTACGATCTGTACTAATGGCAGAAGAAAAATATGAAGGGGATTTTTTCTACTTACTCAAATGGCGTACCCTTCTGTGGGCTCGCTACTATGGGGAATAAACAAACGGCAAAAGATACCGCTTCTTTAACCTGAAGTGGCAGACGTAAGCCTACGGGGCACGCGCCTTCGAAAAAATTTTATGAATAGTCCTAGGCCAGCATATCTGTCGATTTACATTTCTGTAGTGCCTAGGATCTTCAGAAGAACGCGTGCTTTGTTGAACAGAGCAATAAGGAAACAATTTTCATGATAACCATAATAAGCGGGTAATAATACCATTGGATGTTTATTCGAAGGCGTTTTCTAATTTTAATTCTATTACTTAGCTTTCCTTATCCACAAATACGGTCGTACAATAGAACCAGCCAACCCGTGCTAAAGACGTGGTAATACTGCTAACTGATTTGAACATTAACATGTCTCGTTATTACTACACGTATAGACAACAAGACACTTACGTTCACATCACTCAGGGGTGCCGTTGTTACTTTTTCGTGACTGCTGACCGAAATATCGACAATTCATCTAACTATTATTACTATTTTAGATCAGAAATTCTCGGTTAACTCTCCTTTAATCATCCACTCAATGATCTCGGTCCGACGATCTTCAGCATTCACCCTTATACCGTCTTGCACCCTAGTACTGAAATATAAAATAGAAAAACCGCCTCGTATTAAATAGTTTTGTGCTGCAAATCGTACTTTCCTGACTAGTAAGTTGGAACTGAACCGCGTTCGACGTCTAATTACCCTGTCAACGTAGCTATCTGAAGTTCTACGTACTTCGAAATAACTATCGACTTTCACATATATTTCCGAATGAAACAGGACATAAATCAAGCGAGAACTAATTGTACTGGTGATACGGACCTTCGTCACGCTATGCGTAAGCGTTCGGATGTCGACCATAAGTGCCACTGCGGAAGGCTGTAAGGTTACCATTGGCCCACGACTTTACCGGAAGTTGCTACAGCCAGGCTCAGACCAAATGCGGCCCCTATTGCTTCTGTATAATAGTAACAATAGCAGAACGACGCTAAAACCTCTCTGCTTTTTAGCTGTATTAAGAAAGAACTGTATCTATCAAATTTGCCTATTATATACCCTGGGGGCCGAGGCGTTACAGAGAACCATGGTCATGGCACACCGTTACCACACGATTTAGATCACACCTGTGACAACTGAACTTTACTGCTAGACGAGAGATGCAACAAAAGTTATTATGATACGAAGTCATCCGCACTAAGTTATATTCTGAGCAGTCAACAACAAATAGAAGCAAGTGCACACGGATCCCCGTGTTGCTCTGCCGTGCGCCATAGGGCAATTGGGCATTTTGTTATCCTTCGATTGGTTACTATGGAAGCACGATAGTACGAGCTGAGAGCGAAGTAAATAAGCTCCTCCTGGACTGGATCTGCAAATTCCTATAGCAGTTGAAGATCATAATATAACTTCGAGCAGTTACGAAGGTTACGGGTGAGCAGATGTGCATACCTCACCAGGTTCCTATGTGCGGAGCTACAGACAACTTGCAGCTTCAAAGGGATACACATACACTTGTGCGATATAATAATTAGGTTACCATTATGACGATATACATGTTGTTACGGCAAATAGCCACTTGTATAGGCTATACATCTACTTCGAAATTATACGCCGAGGAATTTGTGTGCTCGTTGAAGTCCAGTTTATATTTTCAGCCAAATTTTTGAACATACAGATCAGATGTTCGATAGACTTTAGGCACACTTAACAGGTCTAAAGTAATTGAAAGAAGCTTAGCGAGGTCTCTGTTTGACCTAAAGCTGGTTAAATGTCACCCGGCCTTTGTGTTCGCCTATCTCTATAATTGATCTTCGCTCATACTCCTACTCACAAATAGATTAATTTGTCATTTAGTCGTAACAGTTGGGTACTTGATCCATGCATTCGTGGCACATCATCAAACATGGCTGACCAGTACCAACTGAGCCGTGTAATTATATGCACATTTGAAAGAAAAACATTGGATATGTTCATATTACTTGAGTTATCCTTTATTACGGACGCTGGGTTTTCTCTTGTTTGCTAGTAGTAGTTTTATAGGTAGCTGGTGCTTATCTAAAAATAGCACATTTTTTCTTTGTGTATCTGTGGTTTCCTTTGTTCCTCCGCACCGAGCTCCAACTAGCTACTAACAGTATACCATCGACTAGACATAAAAAGATAATTATTGTATGCTTGGGATTGCTTCACCATGTTAACTTTGTTTACGTACGACAGCGTCTCACGTTTGAATGTGTCGTATGTTTCTTTCGATAGATGCATATCTCTGTGGCCCCATGGGGCGCCGCACATCACCAGCATCGTTTTGTTTGTTTTCAATTGTTTTCTACGGATAGATATCGTAATATCACAGAATGCCGTTACGTTTATGGTATCGCCATCTTCCTTTACTTGCTTCTTTGTCGTCTCGTTCACTTGGCTTCTATCAAATAATATGCGCCATATGCAGAAACTAAATCTAAAGAGTTACATATGTATGGATTACGTACATTGATATATATATATATATATATATATATATATATATATATATATATATACTTTATTTAAAGAATCTTCATATTGTCTTTCCTTTCTTTTTGATTTTGTTTGTGAGGTTACGTTCTACATCAGTGCTCTATTTACACCTTGGTCTCTGACTCATTTTGTTGTCCGTTAGTTGGTGGCGAAAATGATTATTGTTAATGTCCTTCAACATCGATGGACGTCTATCAACGGGAGATTGTTGCTTTTCACATAGAAAGAGTCTGTGTTTGTTTTTTGGTACATTTTACTGGTGTCTCTTTGTCTCTGCGCAGACACCGTGGGGTCCTCGAAAATCAGTTCCAGAACAAGCGTAGATGCATTCTCTGCCGGCATCTTGTCGGTTCGTCAATTGTATTTCGACTACTATAGCAATATAACATACAAAAAGTAAGAAGGCGGGAACTACTCCGCAATTGTTTACATCTGCAGACAGCACTGGCAGGTAGATTATCTTCAAATATCATATACGTTGAGAATCACCGTATAACTTATTCCCCGTTAGGATTTTTGTTTAGTTATCATACAAGTTACGACGCAGAGAACAAGACCCTCTACCACTTTCGCTGATATTCCCGTTTTGCTCCGCCTTTATAACACACATGCAATGTAATCTATAAACCACTATATATACATAGAGTGCATGATTCTAATGTATCGGTATTCTCGGGCAAACTTGAGTAGACTGTTTTTCGTAGTAGGCGTACGTTCATCTGCTGATAGAATAAAGTTAGATCTCTCTACAAGGCCACCTGAAGCACAAAAGTTGTACTTTAATGCAATTTAAGGGAAGATTAGCTATTGTTCGTGCTAGACAAGTTCTCATATGAATTAAAGAAGACCCTTTTTAAAGCCCGGAATCGACACTTTACGTTGTTGCCAGTCTTCAAATGACATCTGAAAAATTCGAGTGAGTTTTGCAAAACCCCAAAAATTTACCCCAAATTTTGTAGTGTTTACATATAAAAATGACCATCATGAATGGCATTTTTAATACAAATTTCAATCAAATAGGTGTGGCTGTTTAAGTACGGTATTAGCAACAACCTGGATTTAGATGGCACGCTATATATATACTGTCGAACTAAACAGGATATTGCGTCAACTTTTTACTGGTGCGTACATGAGTGCGTTACACGTCTGCGACGCACGAGATTTTTTTGGTTGGCATTTTTTGACGTGGTCATAGCGTAACAACGATATATCTGATTATTTCCTTTTACGTATGCGTGGCTTCGTTCCGAATCTCTATCTGTGAAGCATTTATATACATCGGTGAGGTTTGACACCGTTCGGATGTTTTGCCTTAATTCTTGACATGATCCTTTTGTACATAGCGTTGTTTTGCCGAACAAACTTCGATCGCCATGCGAGTTCCTCCTTAATGAGCTTCTTGATACCGGGCGCGTGACACAGGAACGCGTCGTTCAATACTTTAAAATCGTAGTCGATCAGGCAGAGCTCGAACATCTGCGACATTTTGTCGCGTTTGCCCTCCCAGCTGAGCTCTTCTGCGTAAAGAGGTTCATCGTTGGTACCGATATAGATGGGCTCCCAGGACGAGCGGTCCCTGCGCCGTTTCGTCGTTACAAACACAGATAACATCGATGCATTGTTCGGAGTAGTATTTATCCAACGATCTCGTAATGGAAAGTTCTGGCACTGGTCGCACACGAACCGATGAAAGAAGATCGCCTGTTTTTGCTTGTAGAGATCCTGAAGCTCACGCTTCTCTCGAGGCACTGGGTAGCCTTTCTCAATTTCGAAGATCGGCAACGTATAGACACTACGCGGAGCTGAATCGTTGCTGACCATCTGAATGAAGCGTGAAATGATATTTGCCGAAGGATAGAGTTCAATGTCGGAAGCGAGTACATATTTGGTTTGTGCTCGGAGGCGGGCAGCATTTCGCAATACGTTGATTGGATAAGTAAGATTTGCATCCTTGCGGTAATTGCCAGTATCGTGAGGTTGCAGATTTGTACAATTCACATCTTGAGATTGTACGTACTGCTTGGGATCGGTGGGTATGTTAGGCGGGACATGACTGCGATGGTAGACGACGTGAAAGGTCACATGGTTAGCTACACAGGGAGCGCATTTAAGCAGGTGAGCGATCTTGCGATTGACAATAGCCAAGTCACTTCCGGGCGCATACACCGAAATAGACACGGGCCCCTCCCAGCGTTTGCACAATTCTTCAACGTGCGGGAACAGAAACTCATGCGTTGCCTGCGTAGTATACGTTATGCTTTGATTGAATTCTGGCTGTTCGCCGTTCGCCTTGACGTAGTCGCCGAGTATGATGAACGAACCGCGATGCTCAAGTCGATATGCTGGGATTCTTTGTATGGCTAATGCGCCTATTTTCATCTTCGTGAGCACTGTAGAATCGCGAGGCTCCGTTGTTCGGGCAAGTTGTTTCTCGGCTGCGTCGTGCAGGCCGCTATTGTTCAGGACGACAATGCACGGCACGGATAGACCTCGTGAAGCGGTAAAACACATGAAGTTATACAACGCAAGCAGGATGTTGCATAGCATGATAATTTTACCTATAGATAGCCAAGAACCGAAGACCCGGATACTGGTCGAGCTTCCGAGTAGCATCTTGATACGGTCTGGTGAAATCGGACGCATGCTGCGCTTAATTCCTGAAAAATAAAAAATAGAAGAAAAAACTGTTGATAACTAATCTAGCTACTGTCTCGCAAAATGCAATAACAGAAATTGGAGACCTGGTGCAAGTTGTCATAATCTCACCAAGAACATATCTAGAGTTAGGTCATGTAGGTATGCACATGAGTCTTTCAGGTTTCGTCAAGAGGATCCACGGAATTTCTTAAAATACAGACTTACGGAAACGTGTTCCAAGTTTCTATACGCGCCGACCACTGACCAGTTGCCTGGTTATTTAATTTTACGTTATAAGCTCAATTACATGCTACTAAGAACGCTGCAAATTTATGTCAATACATATTTTAAATGAACATATGGTAACACATCTTTTACGTAGTTTTTCGAAACGACACAATTGCAATTGGAAACAGTTTTATCCTTCTTTTAAGATGTCGCTTAATTTTAAGTGAATACTGCGAGACATAGAACTTGATGAGGGGTAAGTTACAACGGCCAAGTTGTTACTAAATTCAGACTCAAGATAGAGGGCTGCATTGATTGTTTTATTTTCGGCGAACCAAAGTAACACCTGTCCCTGATATCTGTCGCGACAACTACCATCACTTTACGTTTTACTCTACTCGGCACTGGCACCGGTTTCGACTTTCCTCTAAAGCGACGCGATTTTCTCGCCTGGTCCCTCTCAGATTAGAAGTTAAGATTGAGCCATGTCTCGTCTATGGCGATCCCGTATTTCCGGCACGTTTTTGCTCACTGAAGTTTGGTGAATTGAACGAGGAACACACATTTCCACCTGGCCTGGAGTTAATGCCGAGTTGTTTTTGTTACACAATTTGCGCAGTTTCAATGCGATACGTTGCTTTGGCCGAGCGAAGCCCTTAGACTTCAAGCTCGATTTTGATGGAAAGCCTCATTGACTGCAGCATTCGCTCCACCTAAGTCCTTCACCAATTTTCAATCGATTCATGTTGCTCGGTCGCTTTTGAAATGCAAACATTCGATTTTTGAATTCAAAAAACATCTTACCTTGTGAACCCATTTTCTCTGAAGTAAACTCATCTGGGTCTCGTATTATTCTGTACGTGTAAGTCGACGGAAAGATTCTTTGGATCTCAATTCGTTCAAGCCGCGATACCCTCCTCTTTCATTCACTCGAAGCTGTCCTATATACCATGTACAAGAACGAAATTAGTGTTATAATGTTTACTGTCATAAGAGCATAGACGCATAAATTCTTTCCGTGGCTTTTAACGAAAATCTACGCCGGATCAGTGGCGGCGGAACCAGAAGTCGCTGCTACAAGCCAACCTACACACCCTGGTAATGTATAGGTTTAACGGTCAGGATAGCAGCAAGGAGAACCTAACGGGGAAGTCCATTAAGGCATCGATCGAACGGTTAAATTCGTCCGACCAAGCGTCTCGCATAGAAAATGTCGTCACCGGGCTGTGACAGTCGAATCGCATTAGAAAAGACGGTTATATTTATTTCTACAATATGAATTGCAATGCGTTACGCTGCCCCTGCCATGCTATAAACAAAAATGAAAAAATATAAATATATAAAGCCATATTAAATGTAGTGATGATACGCACAAGACTCGAGCATTAGGTGATATTAATATGAACTTCAGTGTGATACTAAAGCGACGATGAGTGAACAAACCGACAGGATTAGAGGTACACCTGTGTAAGCAGCTTAACCTTACAACCTTTAGGTAGCGTTCCCTATTCGCCAGTAGACTATAATGTATGCGTAAATAGCGCGAACACTAAATAATACGATATATAAACTATACAACCGTGTTATAGTTTCATCTTATGCATAAATGCGATGACGGAACGCAGTTGGTCCTTAACAACGTAAGCTAATATAGGCTGAGTTACAAAATAGGTCCGAGACTGCAGTGAACCATCGAATCACCGTTTCCACAAATTTAGGCAGAAGCTGCGCCCACTTGATACTACTAATAGCAAATATGCAATGCCCTAAACTATTGGAACTAAACAGATACAGTTTCATCATCAGACCAAACCGCAAACTCAAGTGAATTTCTATTTGGCTTGCAATCAATTTGTATCCGTATTTTTTTTTTTCGAATTGATAGGATGTCCTTGTAAACTCAAAGGTAAATGTTTTATCAAGGTCCAACTAGCCGAAGGCTAACAAACTCATAAATACGAATTAACTTATTTTAGGTCGAGAAGTTCTAACACGCTGCTGCTATAGGCCCGTAACGTTGGATGGTGCTCAGGGCAAACCTCCTCCGAGATGAACGAGTAAACTATCCGGATAACGATACCTACCTAGCACAGCAAACGCGCACATCTCAACGGTAGACTTGATTCGTCTCTCATAAAGACGTTTCATTTTTATGAATCCCTTGTATTGTCCTTTATCACTCGAGCTTTCTATCAACGAGATTCTCTCGACTTACCATTATACTGCTTTAACTTATACATGATTAAGGTTCTTCTAATCCCCGTAAATAAGTTCATGATGAGAACTTGTCACACATGTACTTAGGTGATTATTAGTACATTTCTCATTCGCAACATATTCCGCGGCGCCCCACAACGTAGCACTCGCTAAAATTCGGGCAGAAACGCCAACCGTGAGCGGTTTCAGCTCTAAAAACACGTATTTATTTATTGTAAGTGTTTGCAAGTCCGCTCGCCGTGACGCTATTTCGGTACTTCAACGGCATGACGTGCGATTATTTGAAAGGTATAAGATTATATAAATTTACTTTTGTTTGAGCTCAGCATGCTCCGATATTTACCTATAACCCATTCAGACGATTGTAATGAATTTAGGTAGATTCACGCTATTTGGTCACAGGAAAGTCGTCTTTCCAAGCGAAGATCAACGCCTCGATAGACAGCCACAAAAATGGAATTCTTTTTGCGTTCCGCGTCATCGTTTATACGCTGGCTGGTCGCATATTACATTACACAACAGTAAAAGAATGACCAAACCCAGTGGCGAAGATAGGAAATTTCTCAAATGAGAAAATGTTTCCGTATACCATGTGCCCATATTTATGATGACGTAAGTTAGCAGGTTTATTCTAGGACGAACGCAACGCGCTATAATTCAACGGGAATCGTCAGGTACAGAGTTCTACACGACATCTATTTGCTATTTGGGCTGTCCCATAAGAATGGGTATTTTATCGTCTTTAGTACCATAATCAGGTATCGGAACCTAAATATGCAACATCTTGTACGTGATTGGCGTTAGTAATATACAAAGAAGCGTTCGACTGTTACAAGAACGAGTAAGGACTTGAAAGGCATGCCCTTTTAGAAGAATAATCAGCTGCCTGTTGTACTTCTGATAACGGAATACTACACGATAAATCCATCAAGCAACGGTAAATCTTTCCAGGACATTTTTCCCTTTCTCTAAACTCTGTACCTTTTCGAGTTCGTTGAAACAGAAGGGTCATTCGTCAATTCGCGGACTATCTGAAGAAGTCTAGATACTTCACCCAATTCTAATTTTTGGGTTTGCCAAAGCCCGGGCCCCTCAACTATACGTAACAGCGCTGCTGTTAGAAGCTGATGTATCGCCCTCTTGTTTACCATAGCCACAACGGTTTTCAATGATCTCTCTTGGCGATGCGACTGTTTGCGATGATTAAGTCATAGCCATAGCGTGCGATCACTATTCTCATTTCATACCTGACTTGATCCTGCGCCAGTGTCCGGTACTACGTGCTGCAGCACCGTGTAGATACGAGCTAGGAAAAATGACTCATTACGTAACACACAATTAGAAATTATTACTTGTTGGCTGAATGTAAATGCAGTAATGGACACAACGGAGCGGTGGAAAGCGTCAAACTATTAGACGATAGGTAACTGTGTCACGAGGCACCATAAGGAACAACGCTGGAATCGACCGGATGTCTGCGATTAATGCGCGCCATCTTGGTGTCCAGAGCCTTATTGTTTCTACCGCTACCAGATCATATGTTTACTATTGAAGATGACAGAAATTCAGTAAAATTATATTTATTTTAATGCACACGCTGGTGACGATGACGAAATTCATACATACAATAATATCCCAATATTAGAGTCAGTGCATAGGGTGATTAAAGACGAACAGATGTCGCGCAATCGGAAATCTAGCAGTTGTCATATGAAAAATTTGCGTGTTACCAGTTGATCTATAAATGTTTAGAGAAAATTCTATCGCGCTGCGTCTGGATGACTCGGATAAGTGCGTTAGCGGTGAGTGAAGTCTGACATTTTGCCAATGTTTCGACAACATTTGCCATGTAGACTATCATTCTAACAACTATTACCTCGGTAACGCACACTATGAGTATCTGTCGTGCTTCTACCTTATACTTCAATCCGTTCATCTTTGAAACCGGAATATATCGAATAAGGTTATCTTTCTCTGCGTCTTTTTTTAGGCGCGTTGTTAGCTCTAGGGAAAGTAATACGTCAATCAGTCTCGCCTTCTAGATAATAAGTAATGCTACGCTAACATTTTATGTCATTATGTATATGTATATCGTTGATTGACACTATTTGAACGGAAGCATCAGTCTCTTCATAAAGACATACGTAAGCCGCCACTGATTAAAAATAAATTAATTTATGTCTAGTCATACTAGACGCAATGTATAAATTGCGCTCACCATCGTCTTTAGCTGTATGGATATGTTCATTACAGACCTTTCGTAGATAAACTATGGCCGCAACGAAACTAAACTGCCTACTATTAGAAGCTTTTTTTTCTCTTCTAATAAACACGTACGAAGCAATCAAATGTAAACCGAAAATGACACCATCCCACTCGACGCCCACAGTATCCTGCCCCCTAGTGTGTACAACTGTTATATGTTGTTATGCCCACAGTATCCTGCCCCCTAGTGTGTACAACTGTTATATGCTGTTATACAATGTCATCAAACCATCGCTGAACAGCGTTCCTACGTCAATCATATCAGATACCGACATGACACGATCCATAAACGACTGCAAACTGGCTACCT